TTTTTGTTTTTGTATTAATTTTGTCACCTTCTGCCATACACAATTGGTTTGTTATTCCTAGAGTTTTTGGTGGATTCATTAGGGTTTTCGTGTATAGTATGATATGGTATACAAATAGTTTGACTTCTTTTTTTCCAATTTGAATCCTTTTGATGTCTTGTCTTTTTTCTTGTCTGATTACTATGGCAAGGGCTTTCCAAACTATGATGAATAGGAGTGGTGACAGTGGACATCCTTGTTTTGTGCCTATCTAAGGGGAAAGGTTGGATTTTGTTTTCTGATCTATTCTGCTGCTCTGCGTCATTTATAGTGGAGTTAACTCCACTGATTATTTAGAGAAATAACTGTTATGAAGAGGTTTGTTGCCATGTATTATATGTGGAGTTTGGTTGCATGCAGAAATGCACTATTTTCTTTTTATATGTGATCTCTCAATCTCCTTGTCAGAGCTAAATTCAGGGTCAAATACTAAATATGTCTTCAACAGATGTTTGAATAATAATCTTGCTGGGTAGAGTATGTTTTGCTGAAAGTTCTTTGCATTCACTTTGTATATTAGCTAAAGAAATATTCTGTGAATATGATGTTTTTGTCCTTGGTATGCTAGATTTTGCTTCTGTCTTGGAGACATAAGGTGTTTTTCCTCTGTCTATGGTTCTTACTATTTTGATAACAAAGTGTCTTGGTGTGGTTTTTCTTGGGATTGCTCTCATTGGTACTCGTTGGGTTTCTTGTATCTATACTCCCATCTTGCTCTCCAGGTTGGGGAAATTCTTCCATCTCTTTAATTAGTCTTTAATTATTTATCTTAGCATTGTCAATAATTTCCCATATGTTCTCTTAATTTTTTCTTGTTCTCTTTTCTATTTCCTCATCTTTTTTGGCACATTTATTTACTGTATCTTCAAGTGTACTGATTTGCATTGCTTCTAACGCTTATAAAAACTTATACATGTATTCTTAAATTCCATTACTTCTATTTGGATGATTTCTTTCATTTTTTTTCCCCATTAAGCTCTATTTACATTTGATGATTCTTCACCTGAATGTCATTTTCAGATTGTTGAGCATTACTACAATTGTTGTCCTAAAGGCTTCTTCAAGCAGATTACAGAGGCATAAAGTCACTGGTGATCTCCCTGAGTTTTTGTTGTCTTCTGTTTGCATCTCTGTGTTCTTCATTTTCCAATTGTCTTATACGTTACTTTCACCATTGACAAGATGTAGACTGGATCAGTGCTGTTTTATGATGTTTATGTCGGGTTGAAGATGGGAGTGGGTAGAATACTAAGTTTGAGGTTTTTGTGGTAATTGGCCACACACCAAGTCCTCAGGTGTTGTCCTGGAACTCCTACCACTGCTTCCAAGCTATACTGTACAGAGATGGGATGATTGGGTTTGGGGTAGAGGAGTGGAGCTGGATTGCCACCTCCCAGTACCTGTTCATCTCCCAACTTTAGATAATACTGAAAAAGCAGTGATAAAAGTCTATGATATGGGGAGGACAGAGGCGAGGCATGGGGAAGCAGACTTTCAGACCAATGAGATAGAGCTGAGAACCCACACATAAGTCCTCAGACATATGTGTAGTTAATTTAAGACTAGAGAGCAAGGTGCATTAAGGTGACCGAAGAAAGTACCCTCAACCAAGTGTTGGAAAAACTTGTTAGCCACATACAATAAAATGAAATTGGATCCCGAGCACATACCATCACAGATATTAATTCATAATAGATTAAAGAACAAAATATTAGACCCTAATTATATTGGGTGGATGTAGTGAGATCCATAGTTAACCCATGGGTTTTATATCCTTTCTAGTTTCACTGATTTAAAATAATACCAACAAAAAAATCTGCATTCATGTGATTATAAAATAATGGAATACTGTGAAAATTGATATGTATTGAGTGATGCTATTTTCTATCAAAATTGTATCATAATTAGCATTTATAATTTCAATTTTTAGTGTAATTAATTTTTTCTGTATCTTTACTATATGATTGATTAATGACAGAACATAGTGAAACTATTATAATAAATTATTTCCTACTTTCCAGCTTATGTGAAGAAGTTATTTTGGACGTTGCCTATAAAATCATTTATCAGATTTATGGAGGAGACCTCAGATGATGAAAGTCACTTAGAAGAACTGTTTTACTATTTTAAAAATAGATCAGAGAAGAAACATTTATCAGGGCATGAGAGTGAAAGTAATAACAACTGGTCTTTTTCCAATAATAGGTGATATCTCACTTTCTGGTTTTAGAGTTTTGCACATATTGTAAATGTCCCCTTTAAATTTAATAATTCACATATTTGCTTAATATGATTATAAAGGTACATAGAATAAATTAGATAGTTTTTTAAAAAAAACTCTTAAGGGGCCCAGAAATAGCACAGAGGTTAAAGATCTTGCCTAGCTTGAAACTATCCTGATTAGAACCATGGCATTGTATATGATATCCTGAGCATTGCTAGGAGTGAAATCTGAACACAGAGACAAGAGTAAGTCCTAAGAACCATCAGTGTGTGCCCCAATCCCCCACTTCCCAAATGGCAAATCTTGCAGCAATTAAAAATGTAAACCTTACCTAATAATACTTTTTAAATATAATGCATTTTAAGTAAGGTAAATAAAAATACCAGTTCTGTGAAAAAATTGGAAATGAGCCTGGCAAGCTACTTGTGACGTATTCGATATGCCACACACAGTAACAACAAAGTCTCCAATGGAGACATTACTGGACCCGCTCGAGCAAATCGATGAACAACGGGAGGACAGTGACAGTGACCAAGTGAGTTAAAAAGCACTACTTCACTGTTATTTACTATATTAATATATAACAAATACTTGACTTTTTTTTCTTCTTTAGAATGGAATGCACTTGTTATTTATATGGCCTATTGACTTCTTGTACGATAACCCTGAAATGCCATTATTGTCACTATGGATAAGATAGTCCAGTTTTTAATTTAACCTACTATTTATAAAAATGTATCTGGTATCTTATTTTTGACTTTATGATCATGGTCTTATAAAATGTGTAGGTGTCATTTATAGCCAACATCTTCTGAGATTCATCACTTAAACCAGTGGTGCTTAAAATAAGTCAGGGATGCTTAAGCAATAGTCTACTTTGTAATATAATCTCTAAGATGTCACTAATACTTAATGGACCAGTGTAATGGGTTCCATTAAGAAATAAAAGAGCTGCCAACTGAAGAAAGGCTTAATGCTTTCCTGTCAGAGAATTTTATTTATAAATTTTAAAAAGGCTCCCAAAAACTTGCCCATTTTTTAAAACTTAAATAAGATATTCATTAAACTTCTTTATTTTCAAAGCCAGATTTGTCTGAATCACTTTTTGACTCAAGAGTTAGTTGTCCTGGCTATTAACTGTTTTGGTGATAAGTCATTTCTTAATAAGATTTTCTTTATTGGTTTGTTGTTTGGGGGGGTCACACCAGTAGTGTCCAGGGACTACTCTGGCTTGAGGCGTAGGGAGCAACACCTCCCTTAAGGAACGAAGTAGTGCTGGTGCTCTAAGCCAGGCCTCCTGCATGTGCCGCAGTTCAGGAAAATTTTGTTTGTTTGGGGACCACACTGGCAATACTCAGGGCTTACCTCCCAACTCTTTACTCATCTATCACTCCTGGCAGTGCTTGGAGAACCATATGGGTTGCTGGGGATAGAATCCAGATTGGCCTCATGCAAGGTAAGCACCTTGCCTGAGGCAAGATACTGTAGTATCTCTCTACATATTCCGGTTTAGAAATATGTTTAAGTTAAATAATTTATTAATGCTGAGCTCCATCAACATATGCAACAAGCATAATTCTTAGTCTTGCTTCTGGAACGTTGCTAAACAATCAAGCTTCACCAACTCACTCAATTATCTTATGTTTATATCTAGGGGTTTCATCCCATTACTGGGGTAGTCTGCAAAGAGTGGACACCTGTTCCATAAGTTTTTGGTGTGTGCAACAATGACAAGTCAATTGCTACCTCATTGTTAAGATGTATAAGATGCATCTTGACTTTAGGCTATAAGAATAGTTCCCCAAAATAAATATATCTACAAGTGATACACGGTAGTATCTAGATAACACGATCAAGAAAGAAAATAGCAGTTTTTCCTTTTTTTTTTTTTTAATGTGCCAGTGCTCAGGGTTTATTCCTGGCTCTGTAATCAAGTATTCGTTGGCAGGGGTCAGGTGATAGTATGTTATGCTAGATATTGAACTGGGTTGGAGGTGTGCAAGGAAAGTACCTTACCTGCTCTACTATCTTATCAGTCCCAGCAGTTTTGTTTTGTATGATAATAAAGTATTCCAAAGCCCAGTGTGGAAAGTATCTGGAAAGTTTCAGTTTTCTGTGTATCACTTGCTCAATTTATTCATTTTCCTGGGGGAATTTTTTGCTGAAAAAACAAGTTTCAAGAGAGGACTTTGGAATAAGTTTTAATGAAGCAAATATTTTGGATTTGGAGTAAGGGAGAAGGAACATGCATGTGCATACTCACAAAGTATTTTACGAACCACACAAGGGATATTGAATAATGTAAATAACACAATGAAATATTGCTTTGGTGGTCTTTGTGTTTTATACATGTTCACAGCTTAAAAACTTAACTATAGTAGCTTGAGAAATAATACAGCAGGTAAGTCTTCCCTTGGATATATCAGAGACAGGTTCAATCTCTGCATTGCTTATGTACCCTCAGGGGTGATCCCTGAGTACAGAGGTAGGAATAAGATCTTTGATCAGCCAGGTAAAGCCCCCCAAAACATAAAAACAAAAGCCAACACCCCTTCTTATTATACCAAATATAGAAAATATAGAATAATAGAAAATTAATATGTTATTAGTGACAACTGATATATTATAAAGAGCTAAAAGGATAGCTAATGTTTAATCAGGTCGTACTATTTGACATAAGTATTCCTGCTTCCCGTGACAGATTTAACTTAAATTTTATTTATACATACATTATTAGCCTACACCAGGACATGATAAATGAAAAAACTGAATTGGAGGAAATACTTGAGGAGGCTGAATTGGTGACCTATTCTATGGAATTACTTTTGCCATTATTTAAGGACACTGTTGAAGAAATTACTTTTAAAGATGTGAGTATTCACCTTGTATGTTTGGTTTTGTTTTGGGGGCTATTCCTGGTGGTTCTCAGGGCTTACTCCTAGTTCTGTGCTCAGGGATCACTCCTGGCAGACTCAGAATACCATTGGGGTGCCAGGGATTGAACCTGGGTCTATCTCATACAATGTAAACTCCCTACCTTCTGTCCTATTGCTCTAGCTCTGAATATTTATCTTGTAAACATTTGATAAATAACAAGCTGACAATATCTCCAGAATGCATAAAATGATGTCTCATATCTTTGTTATATTCATAAATTGGCTTTTGATTTTTAAAATGAGGGTTTATCAGTGTTCTTGGCCTATGCCATTAGTTTCAATTCTTTTCCTAAAAGATGGTCTCAGGCTTACATCTGACAAGAAGGTTAAGTTAGCAACTATAAGATAAGAAGGTAAATTACAACTTTACCTTGGCACTTAACTCATCTGAAATTAAACTATACAATTATTTTTGCTGAATTTAGGATGAAAAAATTATTGAGACATAAACTATATTTTCTGTAGTGTTGTAATAGGCTACTTCTAAAATTTCAGTGTACTTAAGTGTTAATAAGAAACCCAAAACAAAAGATTATATGCTTACTGGATAAATTTATCACTTGTATAGATGAAGTATGGGAGGATAGTGCTATAGTGCTATAGAAAATAAGGTATTTTATTAGAAAAAGTATTTTTTGAGAATAGAAATTATATTTTAATGCTCTATCTTAAAATATGTATATGTTCTTGTGTTTTTACAGGCTACTCTCTCTGAATCAAATTTGAAGATTTCTAAACAGAAGGAAATATTAACAAAAGAATTAGACACTTTCACAAGAGTAAAACAAGCTTTAGAACACCATCTTAGGAGGACAGAGTACCAAAAAGTAAGAACATGAAAAACTAATTGAATAGTGATATTTCTCACTCTTTCTCACTGGAAGGGCATATTATTTATATACAAACTATAAATATTAAAATATTGGTATATTTTCAGTTGAAATAATTTTTGAAGTTTTGTTTGAAATGTCAGTCATTAAATGTACTATAAATAGTTCTGCATGAAAGTGACATTTTGGTGGGAGGAAGGAAGGGAGGGAGGGAGAAGGTGTGGGCCACAACTGGTTGGGCTCATGGACTCCACCTAGCTCCACCTGTCTGCTAGTTCTCCGAAACATTGACTCCTGACAATGTTTGGGAGACCATGTGTGGTACCAAGGATCATACCAAGTTCGTCATGTGCAAGGCGAGAACCTTAAATACTCGTATTGTCTTACCAGCACCCAAATGGCATATTTTTAGAGAAAAAATGTTTTTAATTTTTAATCTCAAAAACTTTATTTGGGGCCTTGCATTTGCAAGACAAGTCATATACCACCTAGCCACATCCCTGGTTTAGAATTACTATAATTCTTTACAAAATTATCTTGTTGCTAGAATTCAGGTTGTTTATTACTTTTACCTATTTAAGGACATCACTATGAACTTCCTTTTTTGTTGATGTCTATGACACTGGATTGTATAATCTAGAGCATTAGAGATTAATTTATTAAATCATCTCATTTTATAAATATGTGGCAATTGTTTGGGATGATGAGTTAAAAATTTTTCTGATGGTTAACTTTATATATATATGGGCTGGAGCGATAGCACAGCGGGTAGGGCGTTCGCCTTACAAGCGGCCAACATGGCCGACCCGAGTTCGATTCCTCCGCCCCTCTCGGAGAGCCCGGCAAGCTACCGAGAGTATTCGATATGCCAGACACAGTAACAACAAAGTCTCCATTGGAGACGTTACTGGGCCCGCTCGAGCAAATCGACGATCAACGGGAGGGGAAAAAAAAAAACTTTATATAAAAACTTAAACTGTTCCTGCAGATACATAAGCTTAACAGCTAGCAAAATAGTCTCTTAAAAATGATTTCTAGAAATGAAATTCACTGCCATCCCAACTTTTCTCTGATGTTTAAGCTAGTATTACCTCCTATTTAAATTCATATAGTGAACCAGGAGTTTTGATGCCTTGCTAGTCCAAGACTTATTTTCCTCTTTTTGCAAAGTAGAAGTTATAAATGTACTTTACAAACACGTTTAAAAGATGAAATGGGAGCTGGAGAGAGAACTCAAATAGAATACCTCCCTTGAACATATGAGAACACTGAGTTTGAGTACTCTCTGACTACCTGCTCTACCTCTGAGCATAGTTCGGACCAATTTGCAGCACCTCCAGAAATGAACCCTGTTAAAAAATTTTTTTAAAAGATGAACAATGAATGTGACAGTAAACTCAACTGAAAAAATGTTATATTACCTGAAGGTGTGTGTGTGTGTGGGTGTGTGTGTGTGTGTGTGTGTGTGTGTGTGTGTGTGTGTGTGTGTAGAAGGGGTGGAGTAGGGAGGGGGTGTACTCTGCATTCTGCATAGTAGTTTTTCTTTTTTTTTTAAACTTTTATTTATTTATTTATTTATTTATATTTTGCTTTTGGGTCACACCTGGCGATGCTCAGGGGTTACTCCTGGTTCTGCACTCAGGAATTACTCCTGGCGGTGCTCAGGGGACCATATGGGATGCTGGGAATCGAACCTGGGTTGGCCGTGTGCAAGGCAAACGCCCTACCCGCTGTGCTATCACTCCAGCCCCATTCGTTTTTCATATTAATTTTTAAGTGATACTTATTCAATACTTTTTATTTTTTATGTAACTAAATATATGTATGTAAACCCTGATTTGTATTATCTTTCTTTACAGAATGGGAATGGCTTTTCTATCATGTTAGAGGAGCTAACTGATAATGAAAATGAGAATACGGTAAGTCATACTAAATTTTTATATATTTTTGTTGTTGTTTGGTTTTATCAAATTAGCCAATATTAGTGAAGATATGATATTTCTAACTTTTACCTTATATTTGTTGAAGAATCTTCAGAAGAAGATCCTTGAAAAGGAGACCTATATTCAAGAACTTTATTCTTTATGTCAGGATGAAAAAGTAAGCAAATTTTGAGTTTAATCCTATTATCTTAATATTGACACCTTCTTTTACTGTCCTTTGCATACTTACCTCTGTGTCCCCCCAAAAAAGAATTTTGTTCCAAAGTTTTTGAATTATTTAGATATTTTTCAAGTATCAAATATGACTCTTAAAAGCATTTTATTTTTTAATTTTTAAAATGCTGTTTCACTCACTCAGGGTATTTGGCATAAGTCATTATTGAGAATTAATTTACAATTTTTAATTATTTAAATTTCTATTTCAATTTTAGTATAAATTAAGGAATTTTGGTGTTTGTAGAAGCATTATAGGCAAGTCCATAATTTAACTTATGTGGGTAAATAGAAATTGAACAAAGGACAAAATGTATCAGGAGCCATTAAATAAATGGAGATGGGGAAGTGGAAACATTCCCATATTTGTACATGAAATACATTTATATTGGGAGGGATGATAGTTAATGTAAAGTGGGACTCTGCTTTTCACCACTCTTTAGGCCATGTACAGATGGGGTAAATTTAAAGGTTATAGAGAAGTACATTAAATAACATTAATTTTGGTAATTTTTCTGTTTTAGGCAAATGCTTTGAAAGCAAACCGTCTTTCACATTCTGTAAAAGTAGTCCATGAACGACTACAGCACCAAATTCATAAAAGAGGAGCAGAGAATGATAAATTGAAAGAACATATCAAGGTTATAAATATCTAACCATTTTTATACTTTAAGTGGTAAAATTAATGAACAAATAAAGTCTTTTCTTAATTCTAGAATTTGGTTAATTTGAAAAAATTTAAGCTCTGGCATAGGAAATGCCTATTTGAAATGTATCTTTACTTAAGACTTGTATATCTTCTGAAGTATGATTCTAACTTGCAGTATAAAAATCCTATCCTTTGTCACAGCAATAAAGGAAAGATTTGTATAGCTTGCATTACCTTAAAAATCTTTCCCATTATATAGTTAATTTACATTTACTATGGAATATTTATAAAATATAAAATTAAATGAAAATGATTTTTAAGCACTAAAAGCATTGTTAACTGTGTAAACTCAAAAAAGACAACAGCGGCGGTCTATCTCTCCCACCCTGGGGAGGTTGATGGCGATGGGCAGGTGAAGGAAGGAACGAGGGCCAGACTGGTTGGTCTTAGTTGCAGTTTATTCCAATCCTCTCTCCATTCATTCTTGTCTCTCTTCTCTGCCTCCCCTCCTGCTTCTTCCTCCCCCATGCTACTTCATTCTCCTCCTCTATCCCCCTTCATTCTCCTCCTGGCTCTGAAATCTGGGCACTGATCCTGATTTCCTTTCTCCTCTTGCTCTGGAGTCTGGATTCTGATCCCCCAGCCCACTCTTACAGTACAGTTAAATCCCAAAGCATGAGGGGTTGGGGTAACAATTACATATAGGTGTGGTCATAATCTTAGGGGTAGAACTCTTTCCCTTGGGAGAAAGCCGCTACTAGGACAGATACTCTCTCTCAGCAGGATGACCCACCCTAGAGCGGAATCCCCTGGGTGTGTTTCTCCTCTCCTTGTCCAACAAACACATAAGCATACATAATATAAATCATTTTGTATGGATATAGTAAGAAATACCTTTAAACTTATAGAATTGCTCTCCTAGGGCCATCTAAATCTCAGACTACAGTGCTCAGACCAGATAGTCTTTCCTACCCCTAGTAGGGTCCTAGTCTTGTTGTTACTTTTGGATCATGACAGCATTTGTCTATGATCAAACTCTTAACTTATAGTTAAGAATCGTGGCACTTTGCCCTGGCCCATTTCGATGCCAGGGTAGCTTACCGCTTGCCTTGGGTCCATTCAGTCCCTCGTCGGGACCCTGCTTTTGGGGTGTTAGGAACTAAGGGCAAATGAGGCTTAAGTTGAGAAAGCAGATGCCTGGGAGTGAATAATATTCAAAGCCAATTAAATCCTAAGTTACAAAGCATAATATTAATGGTCTTCCTGTATCTATCCAAAAAGGGTATTGCTTTAAAGTAAACGATTCAAAAGACATAAGGAGAGGAGAAAGGCAATATTAACTTACATACAGTTTCAGTGTCCTAGAAGGATCTGACCTTACAAATTAACAAATTCTGATTAAGGGAAAAAGCTGATTAGCTGGTTGGGGAAGAGAGCATAGAGAAGAGGTTACAGATAAAAGAAGGAACGGGAGTGACTTGGGAGCACTGTGATTGGGGTAACCTGATAAACCTAAGCTCCTTGTGGAGAAAGGGAGAAAGGACAAAGCAATGTCATCCGACAGTTAACATTTGGTAAATATTGTTCCATTACTTTTTCCTGTTTTTACAGCTATCTCACAGATATTAAGTAAGCAGTCAATAAATGTTTATTTATTATATGTTACTAATGGCAGTAGCTTTAAAATCAGTTAACCTAAAACACACTGGGTGTTTATTTCCTTGTGCAATTTTTCAGCAATATGAGTCAGGGAAATCTTTTTGTTTAAGCCATGTTTTTTCCTTCGGAAGTCTCACAGTCGCTTTGAAATAAGAATATGGAATTGCTTGATACCGCACAAGCTAACTAGATCCACTGTAATTTTTGCAAGCTCCTCCTCTCAGGTGAGGTGTCCAAAGACAACCCCCAGTGAAGGTTCAGTGTTCCTATGTTTAATTTGTTTGCTTGTGTGCTGTGGCAACCTAGACACGCTTCAAATTGCACTTGGGTTGGCATTTTTCTTAGTGAAAAAAAGTATTTTACTATTAAGAGGATATAAAGCATGCCCCAAAGGACATAAATTTTGTCCTTTGTCCACCTCCCTGTGATTTCTTAGAAAAGCGCTTTCCCCATCTAGATTTCCTGTGTCCTTGGCAGTGGTGTCCAAGGGCACTTTAAATGAACTTCAGTTCCTACTGTGCCACTTTGCTCTGGTGTTCATCTGCTCTGATGAAAACAAGGGAATATGTGTGCTTCAGCAACTCACACAAGCACCCCACACGATTGATCTTACCTTCATAAATTTTAATTATGACCCAAATAGCTGTTGTAGAAGTTTTTGAAAAAATATATATATTTTTTTAATATGAGAAAGGCTTGATTGAAGCTTTGACCAAGAAGAATTTACGTCACCTTTGGTGTTTTAAGTTTGGTTTTGTTGCTTTAAGTACATTTATTTATGATGTGGTCCTGACACCCTGTGGTCCCTTAGTGGAATGACAACCATGTTCCCCGTGGCGTCTTCCTCTCGCCAAAGTAGGTTTATTATGCTGTCCTTATTTGCTTTCCCCCAGCTACTTATTAAAATACTTCATGGGATTTATTTAAGATATATTTTTTTAAAGTTTATTTATTTATTTTGCATAATATGGTTAAGGGTTGGAAATCTCTGACATTAAGAAAAAACACTGGGCTGGCGTGATAGCACAGTGGGTATGGCGTTTGCCTTGCATGTGGCTGATGCGGGTTCGATTCCAGCATCCCATCCCATATGGTTCCCCGAGCACTGCTGGGAGTAATTCCTGTGCATTTCCGGGTGTTACCCAAAAAAGAAAAAACACTGAAAATACTAATAAATTAGAGTGACCATTATGGTACCGCAAGATCTCAAATAAGGTAAGTCTCATGGAAAGAGATACACAGTTCTTAGTTTAGGGAGACTCAATAAAATAGATTTTTTCTTTAGAAACATGTTTCACTTCTTTCATTCTGTTTGTTCACTATCAAAGTGATCAATTTTTAAAATCTTATTTAAGATATACTTATTCTTGGTGCTTATTGTAAGTTTTCTTTATCATTGAGTCAATTAGAAAAAACTCATTATTTACTGTGATTTTTTTGATTAAAAATTAAAATAATTGTTTGAAAGGGAGCCTTAAAACCTAAATTCTGTAATAATTTACCTTTTATTTTCCAGAATTATGGCTTTTTCAAAAAATGTAAAACATAAATTAGATTTTACTAATTAGGTCCCCACTCCTGGTACGAGATCTAGAATTGCTGGATTACATAGTAGACCTTCTTTTTATTGTTTACTTACCATACTGTATTATTACCATACTGTTTTTCACAGCCTCTGGGCCATTTTACATTCCCACCAATAATATGTATGGGTTCCCTTTTCGCCACACTTTTATCAGCACTTATTGTTTCTGACTTTTGTTTTTCTTTTTGGGTCATACTCAGCGATGCTTAGGTATTACTCCTGGCTCTTCCCTCAGGAATTATACCTGGTGGTGCTGGGGGACCATATGGGATGCCGGGGTTTGTACCAGGGTCAGCTGAGTGCAAGGCAAACGTCCTACACACTGTGCTATCGCTCAGGCCCCACTTACTGATCTTTTTAATATAGACCATCATCACAGGTGTTAAGTGCTGGTTCATTGTACTTTTGATTTGTATTTCTCTGATGGTAACTATAATGGATTTTTTTTCATGTGCCTATTGGCTATATATATGTTTTCTCTAGAAAGGTGTGTGTTTTCACCTCTTCTGCTTATTATTTGCTCGGGTTGTTTTTTTTGTTTCAGTCTTAATAGTTTATATATCTTAATATTAATTCTCACCCAGAGCGATAGCACAGCGGTAGGGCGTTTGCCTTATAAGCAGCCAACATGGCCAACCCGAGTTCGATTCCTCTGCCCCTCTCGGAGAGCCCGGCAAGCTACCCAGAGTATCTCGCCCACACGGCAGAGCCTGGCAAGCTCCCCGTGACGTATTCGATATGCCAAACACAGTAACAACGAAGTCTCTAATGGAGACGTTACTGGGCCCGCTCGAGCAAATTGATGATCAACAGGAGGGCCTTTACCTTACCTTTACCTTACCCAGATTTATGATATGCAAATAGCATCCCCCATTCAGCAGGATGTCTTTCCATTTTCATGATGGGTTCTTGCACTATGTGAAAGAACAGCTTTTTAGCTTTTGACAAAGTCCTATTTGTTTATTTTCACTTTTGTTTCCCTTGTCATTGGAATCATCTCCTCAAAGACATTATGAAAGCCAATAGCATGTATTGCCTACATTTTTGTTATGTAGTTTTTAGTTACAGATCTGCTAAGCCTACATTTTAGTTAACTTTTGTGCAGGGTGTAACATAGTAATTCAATTTAGTTCTTTTGCATGTGACTATCCAATTTTCCTAGTGCTATTTGTGGAGAATTTGTTTTTTCCATCTTATGCTTATTTAGTACCTTTTTCATTAATTTTCTGTTCATATACATGTGGGTTTATTTCTAAGCTGTCTGTTTGATTCCTTTGATTTCTATCTGTTTTTCAGTTAAGTGCCACCCTGCATTGATTTCTGTAGCTTTACATTATAGCTTGAAGTTGGGGAACATATTTGTTGCCACTAAAGGATTAATTTAATTGTTAAGTCTTTAATTTCTTACATATGTTATATTCAAGTGCTTTAAGTACAAAATTTTAAAATTATTTTAAATATGAGAACTATCAAACCCAATATTTCTATCCTCCCAGCCTAACATTCTGTCTCTAATTATGTCATGGAGAGGTATGTCGAGGAAATAATCATGCTTACTAAGACCATTAGACTTTGTGTTATGACTATGTATTATGTATGCTTACTAAGACCATTAGACTAAGTAATATGCCTTCAAACATTTTTTTACTAATCTCACTTAAGGATCTGGGGGTCATTCATTCATCCAAACCTGTTTAGTTTGAAATAATAACTTCCATAAACTTTACTTATTGGGTTAAACAGTCCTTGATGTAACTCATGTGTTAAAGTATGCACTTAATTTTAGTAAACTATAATCTCACAAATCAGTTCATGATATCTTATCTATATTCTTCTCTATTGTAGATTTAGATCCTTTAGGTTTGTGTCATTTATACTAATGAGTCCTAATATACAGGGGAGTAACTGAATTTTGTGTATTTTGAATTTGAATTTTGTGTATATGATTGTTTCAATAATTCAAAATCCTTTGAATTTTGTGTATATGATTGTTTCAATTGTCTTCAACACAAGTATGATATTTCTTTAAATTTATTTTTTTTTCTTGCTTTGAAGCCACACCCAGCAGTGCTCAGGGCTTACTCCAGACTGTGCACTCAAGGATAACTCCTGGTGGGTCTCAGATGTCCTGAGGTCCCCAGGTGGGCCATGTGCAAAGCAAACGCCTAACCTGCTATATAATGTCTCAAGCCCATGTTTTGTTTTTTAGTACACTAAATAGCTAGTACTGTGTAAAATAGTCTAGTGTGAATTTTTAAAAAGTTTTAGTTAATTATAAAAGTTTTAGGGAAATTAGTGTTTGTATCCTCATCACCAATATCTTAATAAAATTCTATGTTTTGTAGGTTTAGTTATTTTAAATATGCATTTTATAGCTATTAAAAACGTTGATAAAATTATCTTCATCATTATCTTCCAAAGTTTTGCTTTAATCTTATGATTAATTTCTGATAAAATATATGTGAAAGATTATTTACATACTTTGCAATGTTTACAGAAACATTAAAATTGTTTAATTAATTCTTTTTTTTTTTTTTTAGAGTTTAGAAACCAAGATATCTGAATGGAACTTGCAGCTGAAAAGGAACAAGCATGCAACTGTAACAATGAAAGAATCTAGTAAAAAAAAAACTATAGCACTAAAAAAGGCGTCTAAAGCTTATAAACAGAGGCTGGAATATTTTACCAAGAACATGGAAAAACTAACTTCCCAAATTAGAGACCAAGTAAGTATATATACTTTCTTAAGAACGATTGGACTTCGGTTTTATGGCTTTTACTTCTCATTTGCATTCGCCTTTATTTTGAAAGATTACCTAAAATGTCAAATTTCCGTATTGAATGATATCAACATTTTCTTGGCAACCCTATGGCCAATTCACTAAAGCTAACAATTCAATATATTTCTCTTTGGAAATTTACAGTGTTTATTAACTTGTTAAAGACCCTGAGCGGGCCTTCAGCCAAGCTTTGTAAAGAAGGCTATTGACCTCACTCTAGAGTTTCCCACCATTTATTTAACTATAAGACTCTTTCACCCAGCTCTTGGAACTGGTTCTGAGGAAAGGCAGTTTGGGAAATGCTGATTTATGTTATTAGACCATACGACATTTTTCACTAATTCACTTCACTTAAACTCTGTATTGAATTTTAAACCATATGCTGACGTAAACACACCATGTGAAAGTTATCTTTGAGTATAGTATTAAGTTGAAAAATGAACTTAGGGCTTTGTTGTTTTGACTATTATATTTATTTGATTACCAGTTAAAAACTATTTACTGTTTTTAATGTCTCTCATCTCTTAAGAACTTATGTTAAGGCTTACAGAATTATTAGTGGCTTTTAGAAATGAAAACAGACTTGCAAAAAAGCAGTGTAAACAAAACAATTTAATATTTTGTAAGCTCAAGTGTTAACATGTTAAGACTCTAATATTTAACCTGCATACATAAATATTTAACAAAATTAAATAACTGAGGACTAAGTTCAGAATTTAGAAGATTATAGACTTCATTTAATGCAAATATTTAAGAAATTTAAAAAAATTTATACTCTATTGCCTAATAATCACAGATTTTATGTCAAATTAAAAAATATTTTGGTCATCAAGATTGACAATTTTGCAATACAGTCAGTGATAGGTTTTGTGAATATAACATTGCAATACAGTGACCCTCCCCCCTGACTCCCTCCACCTCCAAACCCCACATAAATGTCCTTTTTCCTTCCACACCTTTGTCTCAGGGTTTATTGTCATCACACTACCTCCTGCCCCTCAGTACCCCACATCTCACTGTCAGGGTAAGCTCAGCTCAGTAGACTAGTTATCAGGTTCTGTTGCTTTTGGCCTTTCCTTATTCCTTTCTATGCTTCTTTCTATCCCACATATGAGGTCATTCTGCATCTCTCTCTCTCCTTCTAGGTTACTTCACTTAGCATGATATCCTCCAGTCCTACCTAAGTGCATAATTTTGCATAAGATTGCATAATTTCATCTTTTCTTAGAGCTGAATATTGTTCCATTTTTGTACATGTCCCATAGTTTCTTTATGCAGTCATCTGTTCTTGGATAGTTTCCAGATTTTGCCATCATGAATAGGTATATAATTTTTTTTCAAAATATGTTGTGTGACCATTCAGTGAAACTTGTCTTTTAATTGTTATTACTTAAATTTATTTATTACTAAATCACTATCCTCCTGTTGTTCATTGATTTGCTCGAGTGGGCCCAGTAACGTCTCCATCATGAGACTTGTTGTTACTGTGTTTGGCATATTGAATACATCACGGGGAGCTTGCCAGGCTTTGCCGTGCGGTGAGTTACGCTCGGTAGCTTGCCGGGTTCTCCGAGAGGGGTAGAGGAATCGAATTCGGGTCAGCCATGTTGGCTGCGTGCAAGGCAAACGCCCTACACGCTGTGCTAATTACTAAATAAATTACTTAAAATTATTTATTACTAAATAAAATTTAAAAAGTTGTCTTTGGTTTAAGATTAGTATGCACAGAATGCTTATGAATATATGTTATAACTGAATAATCCAAATCACCACTTTCAGCTTGAAGCCTGCAGAATAGCTTTTATGTTTTCCCATAATCTGTAAGAAATACTTTTCACTCTGGCTCTGTGTTCAGGGATCATACCTGACTGGTCTCAGAAACCATATGGGATGCTGGGAATCAAACCTGGGTCAGCCACATACAAGGCAAGCATCCTAACACTATACTATTGCACTAACCCATCTTCCTTCCTTTTTCTCTCTCTTCTCTTTTTCTTCCCTCTCTCTTTTTCTCTCCCTACTTCCCCCTCCCTCCCTCTCTCTGTGTCTCTATCTCTCTCCCTCCCTCCCTTTCCCTCTCTCCTTCCCTCCCTATCTCTCTCCGTCCCCTGCCCCACTTTTTTTCTTTCATTCCTCTCTTATTACCTTTGGGTGTAATATCTGTCTCAAACAACTTGATTTTTGTTTTGGTTTTTGCCTTTTACTCAGATATCTTCTTAATATCTCTTTAGAAAAAACATTGTTGTGCACATTTTTAACAGTAAAGGTAATATTAAAATATCGAGAATTTAAGTGATAGGAAAGAGATGGCTACCATGGGGATTACTCAGTGGCAAGCAGCACACTGCCTTGCAAATGAGAGGACATGAACTTAAGCCCTGGTGGCACCCATGTGTACCTTGTGTGGTTCCAGGCAGCTCTGTTGCAACCCACCCGGTTTTTGGCCCAGTAAGGTGTGTGAGAGCACTGCAAATTAAGTGAGCAACCATTGGTGAGCACCAAGGCCTGGAGTATGACCTCTGGTGAGCATGCAAGTGAGAACTGCAACTAAAAGTGTGGAACCTGTCACAATTATCATTGTCAAAACTTGCGATAACCGGTGAGTGCCACAATAAAGAGTATGAGCACCACGACTAGGTGCTTGTAATACTTGTTTGCCACCACCATAATAGCAACAAAGGGCAGGGAAGCAGGAAGGAGAATTTATTTGAATAAAAGTAGGTTAAAATTAGGCAGAGCTACACCAGTAAGTGGTTAGAAATGCTCCATCTATAGGAGCTGAGGAAAAGCTTTTATAAAGAAAGGGTGGATATATGTAAGACATGATTGGTCATAGTCTGAAACCTGATTGACTATGATTTGTTGTCCTTGGGCTTTGTTTTCATCATGATCACTATCACTATCATCCTGTTGTTCGTCGATTGTCTTGAGCAGGCACCAGTAACGTCTCCTTTATCCTAGCCCTAAGATTTTAAAAAGTGCCATATTCAAGACTCTTTCAGGGTTCGAAGAATGAGACCCATCATTGTTACTGGCATTTGGCATATTGAGTACGCCACGGGGAGTTTGCCAGACTCTGCCATTTGGGAAGGTCACATTTGGTAGCCTGCCAGGTTGTCCAAATTAAGAATGAGATAATAAGATGTCACAGCTGCGAATGCGGCCATGTGCTTCCGGGAGCTGGGTTTTATAGTCTCTGGGTCTTGGCCGTTGATGGGATTACACATGCCGGGTTGGGGGAGAGGGCAGTTGGTGGGTGTGACCCCTGCCTACTGAAAGATGGAGGATCTGGGTGGAGGATGCCCAGCCCCAATCCGAGCAGGCTTGGAGATCTCAGCCCCGGGGCCCACGTGCCTTTGTTCCTCTGCCAGTACCTTCATGCATGCGGAGAGTGGTCTCAGCATGGTTGTGGCTGGTTCTGGAGGTCTTGGGCTGCTGGGGCTCTGCTCAAGGCGGGGAGGGAAACTCAACCCGCCCCCCTCCAAGGGGCCCCAGCGAGGACAGCCAGGTGCAGGGGCAGGAGACTCTGTTTTCATAACCTCAGATATTTGTGTGCTTTTTACAACCTCAGACATTTATGTGCTTTTTATAACCTCAGATATTTATGTGCTTAGCCTTTGATTTGTTTTCGCAAACAGTGTGATTTTAGAACCACCTCAGCCTCAAGATCTCGTTTAATTTAACATACCCCTTAACCCACCTTTTGGATTATCTTTTTTTATATTCAATCACTGTGAACTACAGTTATAAAATTTTCATGTTTGAGTTTCTGTCATACAATGATCGAACACCCATCCCTCCACCAGTGTACATTTTCCACCACCAATTTCCCCAGTATCACCCCCTGCCCCTGTCCCACCCCTCCCCTGCCTCTATGGTAGACAGATTCCCTCTTACTCTCTCTCTACTTTTGGGCATTATGGTTTGCAATACAGATAATGAGAGGCCATCATGTTTGTTCCTTTATCTACTTTCAACACACATCTCCCATCCCAAACGATCCCTCCAGTCATCATTGACTTTGTGATTCCCTTCTGTATACCAAATGCCCTTTTCCCCCCAGCTCATAAGGCAGGTTTCCAACAGTGGAGCAGTCTTTCTGGCCCATATCTCTAATATCCTTGGATGTTAGCCTCCTATTAGGATATTTTATATTCCACAAATGAGTGCGGTCATTCTATGTCTGTTCCTCTCTTTCTGACATATTTCACTTAGTGTGATACTCTCCATAACCATCCACTAGTAAGCTTTTTGTAAGTTATAATTTGCCTAAAAATTTGGTGCCAAAACTATTCTCAGTTTTAATCAAAGTTAAGCTGCCCTTGTCTCATAGTGAAATTTCTAAGATGAGAGATTTATGAGAAATTTGTTTTCTTGTTTATTCTATTGTACATTGTTTCTGTTTCTCCAAGTTAGACCATCTGTTGTATTGCTGGTGGTTACATGCATCCATTTAAGTTCTTTGAGAGGACATAGGGAGACTTAAATGTTGACAGTTAGGAAGACAAGGTGAGAGACTGCAATACACTTCTTAGTCAGGACCCCAGCAATCAAGCCCATTGGTATTAACTTAAAAAATGTACAGCAATGTATCATATCAATCTGGTCTTAATGCCAAATAGATATTTGCTTATTTCTTACATTTAAGTTTCTACCTGCAGGAGGTATTGATCCAGGTATAGAAGAAGGTATTTGCTTTGGTACAGATTTCCTTATCAGCTAGCAACTAATTTAGAAGAGTTCTATGATCTCTAACCACCCAAAGAAGAGAACTTGTAGCCTTCCTTCCTGTTGTGTAGACATGGTATTACAGGAGACTCAGAGTAGTTGCCACAAAGGTCAATTGTATATTTGTCTGTACTAACTCCACATCAAAGAAGAAAATATCTTATATATGATGCACTTTCAGAGTAGTTAATATCTTTGGGTAAATTTCATTTTCATCA